GCACCCTTCACACCTACATTATTGCAGAGCCCTGCAATAAGCAAAGTTGCACAAGCTAGTCATTTTCCCAGACTTTGGACAGCAGAGGTTTTCTTGTCGCTAGGACTGACATCTCACAGAATTGAGCTTTTGGGCAAACATTTGTCTGACGATGACGCCTGTACATGATCCTAGGACCAGGGTTTTGTGGAATATCCAAGACCACTGTTTGAGGCAGGGATTCTCAGGAAGACTGGTTTATGGGAGACCACAACTCCTTGAGCACCAAAGTACGTTTAAGTCAATCTTAGTTTTAAGTTTCCACAATAAAAATTAAGTATCGTTTATCCCTAGAGTTGTAAATTAATATTTTTGGAGTGTAGTTTATCATGGGTAATGAATGGAAGACTAGGTAACCAAAACTCCTTTAAGGAAAGCTGCAGCCATGGGGCTCCATCATAGTAGAGGAGAAGGGACAGGAGAAGATGAGCAGAATGGATTAGAACTAAAACAGGAGCTGGTATCTGTGTAGATGCATGCAGATGTGTAGCTGATACCTCTGTAGATGATGCAAGGCCCTGGCCTGCTCCAAATACCATCAAATATGATGCTTCCTACTCCGGTGCCAGTTGGACTCTGGACCACTCAGATCTGCTCCCTCAATCATGGCTTCTGCAGACTGCAGGAGAGGGCTGTGCGTTAGTGTTTGGGTGGACCTCCAATCTCAGCGACTGAGAACACAAAGCGAAGAGGGATTCAACGTACCCACTGCTCCTGTCCACAGAAAGAACGGCTTAAAAGATCCATTTGCCTTGAAAACACACACACACACACACACACACACACACAACTCATAAATGATTGCACAATACAACAGTACCCATGCTAAAAGGACCAGATATTTGTTTTATTTCAATTATGTCAATTTTTTTTCTTTTAGCCTTCAACTTAAAAATTATAATTAAATGTAAGTCATCAACATAAACGGAGCCCTTTAGAGTATAAGCATCAAAAGCATGCTCGTTAAACCCCAGCGAGTCTCAGAATGAGCATTTAACAGCATGCACACCTGCTCACAAGCCTACATTCTTTTCCTGCGCTTGATGCTAAAGCACAGAAGCACTCCCCGCCGTCTCCTAGCTCCCCTCCTTCCTTGCACAGGAAAGTGTGGGGGCCACTAAGTCTGGGATTATCCTTATCATGGTTTCTAGGGCAGAACAGAAGTGGATCCTGCTCCAGCCTCTCTGAACTTTGCCCAAGACATGTGGGATGTGCAACCCTTGGGAAATTGGTCTTTAAATGTCACTCTCCGCTCTCAGCCCTTTCTTGTCCTGCTGGGTAATGTGCCAGAAAGACCTTTGGTATCCCTGTGAGGCACACAACTAGGCCAGCTCTTTTAAGCTCAAGTTCCAGCATGGAACTCTTCAAGTTTGCTTCTTAACTTCAGCTTGTCAGAAAACCATTTTTGCTGTCCTGTAGCAATTAAACAAAAATAAATTAGCTAAACTCAATTAAAGTAAAAAGAATCAGGAAATGGTCCTCCCAGGAGTCCCCCCCCCCCCCCCCCCCGCCGCCCCGGGAGCTAATGCTGATATTACTATTTAGATTCTGAGAGTTCATAAGCAATATTACAGCGCTTATCTTTAGTGACCTGTTAAAATATAACCCTGTTTGGTTCGGAGATGGTCTCTCCAACTGCCTTGAGAGTGCAGGGCAGAGTGAAGTGAGTAGACTTCTGTCTAAGTTCCAGTGGATCTAATCTCGCTGCCCCCAGTTTATCTGACTTAAGACCCTTGCTGAGCTGTGGGCCTCAGAGCATGTGGGCACTCTCCTCTGGCTTTTCCAAGACTCTTCTGAGGAAATCTTTGTTTACAGTGAAGCCATGATGTCCCTTTAAAGTTCTGAGCTTGTGGGTGTCGTGAGCCAGCGGGACTCCCCGGGTTTATCAGACTCACACAATGTCAGGAAGTCCTTGACACACCACCAAGTACTAGATTTTTGTTGTTTTGATTTTGATAACACAAGCAGCTTTGGCCCAGCCGGGCAAGTTTCATTCACAGGCCACAGCAGGAGAAATTAGGACCAATTCCCATGGTATGTGGAGACTGTGAACTTGTCTGAGGAGCAGCATGATGGCGGTCTCTAACAAGTGGCCAGCCCTGCAGGTACCCACACAGAGAGGCTGGCTCACTATGGTGGCAGCCAGTGCACCCTCGGGACTTGGACATGGCTGCTATCATTTATTAAATTATTCATTCTTTAAATAAGTGCTCAAGATGTGAACCAAATCCATGTGGAGCATTTGTTGTTTCAGACAGAGTCTCCTAGAGCCCAGACTGACCTTGATTTAAGGGTATCCTTGACCCCTTGATCCCCTTGGCACTGCCTGTGAGGTACCAACTACAGGTGCGCCCCACCATGCCTGGGTCTCTGTTAAACATTTAAAGCAGCGAAATAAAAGTCAATACAGGTAGTGGTGTGGAGTTTAAAATGTCCTCTCAAGCTCTCCTTGTGAGTGTAATAAACGGACAAAAGACAAGACGCTTTAGACAGTAGCAGAGTAAGAGAGAAGGTAACTGGTCCCCTGCACAGAGACTGGAATGTGACTCGTCGCTTTAAGCCTGTGCTGTGTCCCCACAGTAGATCCCAACGTGAAGAATGGATGACATGGTGGATAAGCATAGAAGACTGTAGTGATGAGGCAGGCAGGCCTGCTTTTCGTCCTGCCCAGCTTCCGCACAGCTAGCTTTACACCCGAAATAATTACACGGAAACTGTATTCTTTTAAACATTGCCTGGCCCATTAGCTCTAGGCTCTAACTGGCTAACTCTCACATCTTGATCAACCCATTTCTATTAATGAGTGTAGCACCACGAGGTGGTGGCTTACTGGGAAGGATCTTAACCTGCTTCCATCTTGGAGAGGAGAGCTATAGCATCTGCTTGACTCAGCTTTCTTTCTCCCAGAATTCTGTTCTGTCTTCCCCGCCTACCTATATTCTGACCTATCAGGCCAAGCAGTTTTCTTTATTAATTAAGCAATGAAACAACAGATAAATAGAAGACCCACCTACATCAGAAGACAGCAAGGGTGAGAGAGGTAGGGATGGGGGAGAGGTGAGAAGAGAAAGGGGGCAGGGAAGTCAGAGGGGAAATTGAGAGAGAGAGAGGTGGGGAGAGAACCAGTGAGGACATTCTATGCAGGCTGAGGGCCACATGTTATCACCCCCTTTTCTAGTGGGGAAAAGGTCATCATATTTCCTATGTAGACTCCTTACTCTTACAAGACACAAGAATGCCACAGACCAGAACAGTTACAGTTCCATAAATCAGAGATGGCTGGAGCCAAGAAGGAGGCAGGCTCTGAATTGCAATCAAACAAGAGAAAGGGGCAGAGAAAATAAGTCATGTGATTGGGCATGTTTCTCTGGATTCTGTTCCTTCCTGTCCATTCACCCCCACATCCCTCAGCAATTCCTAACTTAGGAAGTGCTAGTCCAGAAAAGACTCAGCCAGTTTCCTCTTGAGTAGACACGAGTACTCTTCACTTTTATTTCTTTGTACCTGCAAACCTTCAAAAGGAAAAACATACACTGAACAGCATCTAAAACCTGTAGGCACTTCCTAAATAATATGATAGAGTGGGGGATAGTTCTTTTTCACAAGAGACCTGGACAGTTATTGTATTTTCCAAGGGAAGAGAGACTATAAGGGTTTCTAACGTTGAGTTTTTGATAGCATCCTCCTGGAAAGCTTCTTTCTCGAGATGGCTGGTTCTGCCCTCAAAATGAACATTACTCCATTCTGACAGACCAAGTCAATGGTAATTTTTTTATGTGAGAATCTGTGCAAACACAAGCAAACAGTTAGCCCAGAAGTTTGCAGGATGACTCCTGTCTATAGTTACACTCTAACAACACACTAAAGAGGAGGTGCCTCCACCATCACGAAAACACTTTGACAAGAAGAGTTGGTTAAAACCTCACTCATTTTCATGGTGTCCTCCCCAAGCCCTGCTGTAGGTCAGCTGTGTATAGGAGAGTTCATAAACTATCAGGCTAGAGCACAAAGATGTATTTACAAATAGAGGAAAGCACATAAGACCCCAGCACACTTGACTCCTTTGCACCCGTCCATCCTGACGAGTCTGGCCCTGTGTCAGCAGACCCCAGCAATATAAACTCCAGGGGAGCCCGGCTCAACTGATCCCACACCAGAGAAGGAGCAGAGGCCAAAAGTGGTGACCACTGGCCAGCAGGGAGGAAAACTGCCTATGACAGGGACCCCGGAAGGTTTGAGCGAAGACAACAGTTCTCAGGCTTCTGGACACTGTGCCTTGGTGTCCTGGCTACATCTCAAGCATTATTTCTTTATTGCTATTACATTGATGGTTCCAATTGCAGCAGAATTGCTCAATTTACCACCTCCACGGCAGTCAAGGAGGTGATAAAAGACGGTGCCTTGTAAATCATATTCAATGCCCATGTCTTTTTACTTTAAAAAAAAAAAAACCCTCCACTGGAAAGACTTCTTTGTTGGCAGTGATTCACGGAAGACCGCCTAAGGAAAATGACAAAGGTGTGCCTGAAACCCACCAAGGAATCCTGCTCTGCCCTAGCCTAGTGAGTTTGTGTTAGCCCCCTTAAAATAGGAAAGACCTGATGCCTGAGGCCTCACAGCAAGCTATAGTGGAAACAACAACCTCAGGTCTGCAGCCAACGGCTGAGTCTTACCCAACCACTAGCCTTTTCTGTGTGGAACTCGAGTATCTGGCTGGAGAAAAGTTCCTGATCGCATGTGGTTATAGCTCCGTTCACTTGTCATTCATTCCGGATAATTACCAATGTTTACCAACTGCAAGTTGCAAAGTATGAAGCTAACAGCTTCTTCCCTGGTGTGCAGCAGCCCAGGGATTCTTATGGACTTCACCTTGAGTCCAGGTGCATGAGCACTGCCTTCCCGTGACCCTGGGGCTCCTCTGGATGGTTCACTCCCTCATTGCGGGGCCCTCTGTCTTTCAGGGCATGAACTATCTGGAAGATCGGCGCTTGGTGCACCGTGACTTGGCAGCCAGGAATGTCCTGGTGAAGACCCCACAGCATGTCAAGATCACAGATTTTGGGCTGGCCAAACTGCTCGGTGCTGACGAGAAAGAATACCATGCCGAGGGAGGCAAAGTAAGGACCTAGTAGCAGCAGATCCAGAAGTATTTCCCTGATAATCCAGACCCATCCCCCTCCCTGTCAGCTGTGGGCCGCCTTTGCCAACCACTCCAAGTGAGGTCATAGGAGCTGCCACCATGACCTAAGGTCTAGCCTACTTTGTGAATGGAGTTTGGTAAGAGAGGCAGTGAAAAGGGAGACTCTCCCCAGAGGCCAAAGAGAGCAAGCCCCCATCTCCAGGTAACGGTGACATGACGTAATAACAACTGTTGAGTTCTACTGCCTCCTCCAGGAGGAAAACACTCTTCAAAAAAACCAGTTGGGAAATATCACAGCTAATTTAGTACTAACCTCTCTTGAGACTCATGTTCAATAAGCTGCGTTGTTCTGGGAGTTCCTGTGAGTCTGTTGACTCATGCTGGAGAATGGCAGTGACGGGGCTGGCTATCTTCCCTCTCTAATGTTTTCAGTCCCTTCAAGGCCTCGTCACAGCCGTGAGGGGTGCACAGGCCTGCCAGACTCTCCAGATGACCCCCACCCTCCCTAGCTACAGCCCTCTTGTCATGCTGACAGCATGGCTCTAAATAGCACTGTCAACCCCGTGAACTCGGTTATTGGAAACATACCCAAAGTCTGGGATGGAGGGCTGTAGGGAAATACCACAGCCTTAGTTCATCAAAATAGGCCGTTGCTCAAAATGTTCTCAGTCACAGCTTTCATGACGCGGTTCTGGGACCCACCTGTTCTCTGGTGTATTTTTAAAAATTCCTGCTGAGCGGGAGCAGAGACCCTAAGCCTGGTAGGGAGGTCACGTGACTTTCCTCACTAGTCATTTGTCACTACACCTAGAAGGACTACATTTTTTTTTCAGCTGTAAGCTGATAGACTTCTTGCTGCTTTATCCCACTTTGTCCCAAGGTGCCGATCAAGTGGATGGCCTTGGAATCAATTTTACACCGAATTTATACACACCAAAGTGACGTCTGGAGCTATGGTGAGTCAAACCTCTGACGCTAATGAATTTGTACTAAGGCTAAGCTGGTTCCTATTATTTGCTAATTGACATTATATGCCCTGACATGCAAGTGTTACCTTTCAAGACAGTGGGCATTCATAATGGAGCTGCTCTCTATCTACCATCCTAAGAGAATCTGACAAAGGAAATGAAGCTTAGCTGCCACACCAAGGATCGCTAGAGACAACCAGGAACTCCTGCTGCAGGGAGGGTCATAAGGGGAAAAGGACCAGAATGTAGGTTAAGCCTCTGCCTGCAGAAGTCAAACAGATATAAGCTCTTGCTTTGAACTTGAAAGGAATGAAAGGAAAGCAGCAAATGAAGCAACTCTGATAGATGAAATGCCCAAGACTGTTGGTTCATGTCATATTTGATTTAATATCTCTGTGCCAAAGAGAATAGCTTGACAAGGGTGAACCATGAGGATATGTAGGAAGTAAATGAGAACAGGAAAATGGTTACCGTGTGCTGCTCAAAAAAGACCCACCTCATCCGGGTCCAGTTCTTCTAAGTACATCATAGCCATGCCCAGGACTTCGCTTCATCTGAGCGGGATGACCACTCATGCCAAGCCTGCTTTGCATGTTCTTCCCTTGTCTTGGGTCTGTTATGTCTTCACCAGGAATACCCTTGGTTGCTGTGTCAGGCACTTGATCCTTGAATTCCCCACCAGCAATTCATAGAAAAGTTGGAAAACACTGTCGTTATGAAACACAACTCTCACCTCAAAGGGAATGAAGGATGATTTATTCTGAACCAGCCATGGGAGGTCATCACCAAAGAACACAAATTCGGGTTACCCTGAACATCTCCTTAGGAAGCAGATCAAGCAGATTGTATTAACTACAGGACAAAGAACATGATGTATCAAATGCTTTGCCATTTACAGCCATATTCATATGGTCCTGTTTTCCACTATTACTACTGTGAATGTAAGGTTCTCAGGGCAGTTGAGTAAGTGGATGGACCTTGTTCTGTGGCAAACTCATATTCCACAGTTGTCCTTATCTTTAGGGTTATTATTGAACTCTTCTCCTTGTCAGTCAACAATTATATGTCTCACATTAAATTAACATTTGATGTCGAAGATCTTGCTAGGTACTTGAAGCCAGGCTATGAAACAGATGCTACAATCCTACTTGAAAGTCAAACCAAAGGCATCGGTAGTCAAACCAAAGGCTCCAAAGCTATAGAAACATACTTTTTTAAATACTTAGCCACATTAATGACCAAAGATTAGATGATGTGCTGACCATGAACTCACGAAGCAATAACTTTCTTTGCCCGCTTTGTCTGCTCAGGAGTCACTGTGTGGGAACTGATGACCTTTGGGTCCAAGCCTTATGATGCAATCCCTGCTAGTGAGATCTCATCCATCCTGGAGAAAGGAGAACGCCTTCCACAGCCGCCTATCTGCACCATTGATGTCTACATGATCATGGTCAAGTGTGAGTGCCTGGGGCGACCATCCACACTCTTGTAGGGCAGCCTGAAAGAGCATAACTACTCTTAGCCAAATAACCAAGGCCGTCATTTCCCTGAAGAAAGAACATCACTCTTTAAGGCAGGCACACAATTCCAGAAACACCATAAACACCTCCTGCAAACATTCTTTAGGAATCACTTGCTTGACTCCTCCTGACCTCATATTTTCCCATCTTTGCAACCAAATAAACCAAAGTCTTTCATAAGCCATTATTCCAAAATATTCTATTCTCTGAGTTGCTCAATGACCTTACAAAGTTGCCTTACATTCTGAGACCTGTTGCCAGAGAGACTTAATGTTTTTAAATGCCTAACAATGAGTAACCAGGGGACTATGAGAGAATCAACATTTCTGCTCTGGCTTAAACCTTTCAAACAGTGGATTTACGTGAGATCTCCGTGGCACGGCAGTTCATCATTTTAATCTCAATAGGAGAGTGCCTTTGGATCAGGGCTACTATTCCACACAAATCACAAGTGTGCTCAGCTCAGAAAATAACCTTACCCATGGGATAGCACTGGCATAAAAACATAGCAGAGGAATGTGACAGTCATTGTGGCAGCTTGGACCAAAAGCAACTTGGAGAGGAACATGTTTATTTGGCCTACAGCCCACTGTCCATTGTCAAGGAAAACAAGGGCAAGAACTCAAAATCAGAACCTGGAGGTAGGTACTGGCTTGCTCTCCCTGGTTCACTCAGCCTGCATTCTTACACAGCTGAAAACCACCAGCCTAGGGGTAGCACCACCCACAGTGGGCGGGACCCTTCTCACACTACTCATTAATCAAGAAAATGTCCCACAGGCTTGCTGACAGGCCAATCCAAGGGAGGCATTTCCTCGGTAAAAGTTTCCTCTTCCCAGATGACTCTAGTTTTTCTCATAGTGACAGAAACCAACCAGCACAGCTGTGCTTATATAAGTAACAATGTATCTCTGAACTTTAGACCTGAGAGCTGATCTGTTTTCACTGCATTGGTTTGGGCTGAGGAAGCTGAGGCCCAGAAAGGTTACATGATTTGTCTAAGGTCACATTGCAGTTTGGCCTAAAATACTTTGACATCCAGTTGAAAAAAATGTGAATCCCCGAGAGGCACAGGGATTTCTAGCCCACAGTTTATCCTCCTCATTGCTGAATCTATATTTAGATCATTGTGTAATCCAATGCACCCACATGGCTATTAGATATAGCTTCACACAGAAGGCACTTGCTTTATGCAGCCGTAGGTTCCGTCCCCAGCCCTGCAAGATAAATAAACAACAGGACATGGATGCAGCCTTGTCATTTGTGTGAATGGAAACTGATTGTTGAAGGCCTTGATATTTAATCTGGTTTCTGGTCTGGAAGTCTATGGAGAAGGGACAATGAAATCACGAAGGCATGCCAAAGTCAGCGTAATTTAGTCATGATTGCCCATGACAATATTCTGTAGTCACTGAAGATTGTAAGCAAGAATCCTGTCTCGGGAGAAGAAATATAGAAATATTAGAGTATGTTATTGTTACTGTGATTTAAAAATAGTGTAAAGGGCTGAGGATGAATGCATACGTCCCTGGGTTGTATCCCCAGGTGACAACAACAACTTCTCACGGACTTTGAGGACCAACCTGTAGTAAGAAGTTGCAGGCCGCATTCCTGCCGCCTGGTTTCTGGCTGCCAGCTAGCTTATGCCCCGAAATAATTACATGGAAACTGTATTCTTTTAAACACTGCCTGGCCCATTAGTTCCAGCCTCTTATTGACTAGCTCTTACATATTGATCTAACCCATTTTTAATAATCTGTATAGCCCACGAGGTGGCTTACCAGGGAAGATCTTAAACTGCGTCTTTCTGGAGTTGGAGAATCATGGGGACTGTCTGACTCAGCTTCTTTCTCCCAGCATTCTGTTCTGTCTACTCCGCCTACCTAATTTTCTGTCCTATCAGGCCAAGCAGTTTTCTTTATTAGTTAACCAATGAAAGCAACAGATAAGATACAAGACCCACCTCCATCACCAACCAATGTCAGCTCTGTGCTGAGGTTGAAAAGTCGGCCCCAACGATTATGTCCTCACCATTCATTTGCCTAGAAAGATCACAGCGTAAGTGCTTCAAGCAGTGCTCTCTTTAATTTCTTCCAGGGTGGTAATCATTCTGCTTTCCTTCATTTCCTTCAGGCTGGATGATAGATGCCGATAGCCGCCCAAAGTTCCGAGAGTTGATTCTCGAATTCTCCAAAATGGCCCGAGACCCCCAGCGCTACCTTGTTATCCAGGTACCAGGTCACAGTTTGTACTTCCATTTCCAAAATTCCTTCAATAGCTCCTGATACCACTGTGGTGGTTCAGCACAGCCTGGGGGACGCTTTCCTGTTAATAAATCCGTTTGTGTGTTGGAGCTGCTTTAGTTACAACCCAATGATTCTGAACTACATTGGGACCATGGGTAGATCCCATCTAACTCCAAGTAGCCATGCCATTTGAGCAGTCCTACCTGGACCCAACCTGTTCTTCCTGTTCACATGTCAGTCACCTTATATTTTGGCTTCACTGTCATGGCTCCCATCCCTGACTCTGTATGCATCCTTGTGCCACGTGTACCACCAATCATTCCATTTCCTTATCTAATTCTGAAATAACAAAACCAAGGTCACTTGACTATGTGGATTTTAAGTTTCAGTAAAATAATATATGCAAAGCACATTGCATAACATTGTGTGGGGGACAGTAAACTGTTCCCAGGGCTTCTTTTTCTTCTTTCTCTTAAGTGGTTGCTCATGTGCAGGCTGTCAGAATCAGGAGATTTGTGGGTTTATTACATTGCAAAATATCCACACTTTAATATGGAAAGAGCTGTGTGTGGATCTGAGAACCGCAGAGTTTGCCCGATAACTAAACTAACAAACTTGCAGGTACTTGTTGATAAAAAAAAAACCCTGACTCCTGTAGCCAGAGAACAGAAAAGCAACTCTGTTGCGCCTTCTAACGGTCTCAAAATCTCTGCACCAGGGGGATGAAAGGATGCACTTGCCCAGCCCAACAGACTCCAACTTTTACCGAGCCCTGATGGATGAAGAGGACATGGAAGATGTGATTGATGCTGACGAGTACCTCATTCCACAGCAAGGCTTCTTCAACAGCCCATCCACATCTCGGACTCCCCTCTTGAGTTCTCTGGTACGCGAGCGCTCTCTCTGTCTCTCTCTCTGTCTCTCTCTCTCTCTGTCTCTCTCTCTCTCTGTCTCTCTCTCTCTCTCTCTCTCTCTCTCTCTCCTGGTTTAAATTTATTTGGTTTCCATTTTCTAGATTATATTTGGAGAAAAAGAAGTAAATTTTAACAAATGGAAGCATCATAACCCATAGTTTATGTAGTCATTTTGTTGCCTCGTTTTTCTAAAGCTGCCATTCAAGACAAAAATTCTCTTCTCCAAAATACATTTGCTTTCATCCAAAGCAGTAAACACCTTGAAATATTTCTACTCTGGGAGACCTACCTCCTGCAACTGCGGGAAATGGGTGAGAATGGACCATTGTACCATGAGCAACATTGCTTTTTTTTTTTTTCCAGAGTGCAACCAGCAACAATTCCACTGTGGCATGCATTAATAGAAATGGGGTATGTATGAACACAATATAAACCAGAATCAAATAAGCTGGTTTTCAAGCCCTGTTACTCAGGGAACGTGCCCATCTCTGCCCACATCGTTCGGACCTTCCTTCCTGCGTTTTCCACATCATAGCTTCTTTGACTGAAACCCTAAGGCCAGGAATTAGTGATAACTTATCACATGACCACGGGAGGTGTGATTCATAGGCTGCCAGCATCAGCTTCACCTGGCAGCCATTAGAAGTGAAGATATTCAGGCCTCCAGCAGACCCATGAGCAGGATCTGCGGGGGTGTCACCAGTGTGGGCACGAGCCCGCCAAGTCACCCTGAACACAAGGAAGTGCGGTGCTTCAGCATGTGCCTGCGCTGTGCTGTCTGCGAGCGGCCACACCACTAATTCCATTTTAAATAACGCGAAATAAAACATGAAAATCAGCTCACCACACATTCCAGGCATTCAGGGGCCACATGTGGGCTGGGAATGCCTTATTATGGAACACAGACGCCAAGGTGCCCCTATCCCTTCAGCAATTCTGTCAGATGTACTGACATGATCTGTCTCTAGCCCACCAGACCGGGTGTCCCTTAGGAGCCTTTCAGAAATCTGTTCTCCCAGACTCAGACTCCAGTGAGTTTACTCTCTCCGTGTCTGTGACACCTGACTACGTAGCCCAGCAGCCCTTGAACTCACAGTCCTCACAGCTCAGCCTGCAGAGCTCTGAAATCGCAAGCACGTGCCAGCCACTTGGACGTGCATTTTAACAAGACCGCAGGCGAAGTTAATCTATAACGAGGTCTGAGTAACTAATCCTCCCTGGAGTAACCTTGCCGAATTCTCTTCCCAGCAGAGCTGTCGTCTCAAGGAAGACAGCTTCTTGCAGCGGTACAGCTCCGACCCCACTGGTGCCTTAACGGAGGACAGCCTAGACGACACTTTCCTCCCTGCACCGGGTGAGTAGCTTGCTCAGGAAGCGGTCATTGGCCGTGGTGTCTACTCTCATTTCCTCAGGCACCAGCCAGGAGCTTCTTTCCAAGTCATCCAGAGGGGGAGACTGGCAATTGTGCAGACGTGTTGGGAGTGAGAAGAAACAGAGGGAACTAAGCTGCTGTGGGAACTGTGTCCAACACAAGTTACAGCTTGGTTTTTCACTCACACACATATACACACACACACACTCTCTCTCTCTCACATACACACACACACACACACACAAACACACACTCACACACACCCTACACATCTTCCTTTAAATTTACAAAAAACCACATAGGCCCGCTGCTTTGAGAAGAACAGAAAATCTCACAGTATCTTTGGGAATCTCCATAGGATTCCCAGAATTTCCTTGCCCTCTGACGTCACATGTCTCGCTGAAGATGTTTGCAGAATTCACCAAAATTTCAGGGCTGTCAAATTCTGCTTTGAGAATCTTGGCACAAAGCTTTGCTAATTCATACGTGCTTTTTTTTTTTCCATTTCAGAATATATAAACCAGTCTGTCCCCAAAAGGCCAGCAGGCTCTGTACAGAACCCTGTCTATCACAATCAGCCCCTGCATCCAGCAGCTGGCAGGGACCTGCATTATCAAAATCCCCATAGCAACGCCGTGGGCAACCCTGAGTATCTCAACACTGTCCAGCCTACCTGTGTCAGCGGTGGATTTGACAGCCCTGCCCTCTGGGCTCCCAAGGGCAGCCATCAAATGAGCCTGGACAACCCTGATTACCAGCAGGACTTCTTTCCCCAGGAAGCCAGGCCAAACGGCATCTATAAGGGCCCCACGGCTGAAAATGCCGAATATCTACGCGTAGCACCAACAAGCACTGAGTTTATTGGAGCCTGACATGGAGGGGTGTCACACCGGCTATAAAATCTCCAGACTTATCATTACCCCAGGACCAAGCCATGGCAGCACCTCCAAACAGCCATGCCCATGTTGTGCCAAATGTCAGACCCTCGGACTGGTTTGCAACAGTAACTTTGATGGGCTCTGTCTTTGAGCTGAGCAATGGGCCCCTCCCCTGACGCGCTTTGGGAAGTTGAAGGTACATTTTTTTTAATCCTTCAAACTGTGAAGATTCTACAAAAAGGCATCCATCATGAATGTAGTCCATTGGGACGGAAGTTTACCTCATGGTGAGGTGCACGGGGAAGAAAACACACATTTGGAGATTTGCTGCACAGGGACCTTTGGATTCTTATTTTCTTTATTGATTTGATTCATGGGCTCTTCCAAGAAGGAAGGCGCTTACTTGCGGTATGTATTACACAGAGTTGCCCGGTGCCAACTGTGACCAGTTGATTCCACAAGCTCTGCTTCAAGACATTTCTGTGGCAAGACAACTACATATACAAGAAGGCCTGCATGCCTTGAGCAGACCACACTTGTACAACCTTAAACCATAGCAGGTACAATAGGATAAGCCACTTTGTTACTTCCTGGGGCTGGGAGAAGGAGGAGGAAGGGGTAGAAGTTCCCCCTCAGACTTGCTTTTGTATGAATCTGTCCCTGGTACTTACACCGCTGGCTTACTGGTGACTTCTGGCTATCAGGCCTCCTTGACCTCCTTGTGTTTTCTGTTTCACTGTTTTGAGCTGTAATAGGCATTCCCGTCTTGATTTTGTAAAGTCAACAAGAAACAGTATTATCAGAACAACCATGACTCCACATCTGTGCGCTAACCAAAGGCCTTTAATTCACACTTCACAGAGGAATATAACCCAAAAATTTAGTCTCGGCATCAGGCCTGTTGAAGCATGTCTCATGAGACTACAGAAATGGCAATGCTCTTCAAATCCCCTTTGCCTTCACCCCTCTACACTCCGAAATCATCATAAACCACACAAGAAGAATCCTTTTTGTATTTTTATAAGTGTTTACTGGAGATGTGTAAGTGGCAAATTGTCACCAAAGTTTTCTTTCCCTTTGAGAGAAATTATCTAAGCTACTCCATAGTAAGTGGCAACCCAAGGTAAGCTCCGTATGCACGTTCCGAGAGAAAGAATGTTAAGAATTGAGTGGAACTCAAGTGGCAAACTTGCAATAGGAGTTTGCAAGCCACAACAATGCTTCCATGGATGCTTCTGGGAAGAAACCCATCTCAAAGTAATCCCACTGTCATTGGTACATCCAGCTCCTCAAGGTCTCAATGTTGGTTCTTAATTTGCTCTTCCTTGCAGCCCGGTTCGTTAATATCTGTCTTTGGTAAACACTACTTTAATGCTCTTGGTATCCATCCCTTCCCATTTATCAAGGGGTGGATAGGAATGGCCTTATAAACACTAATCCTAAAGCAAAATAATGAATGCCAGGCAAGTTGTCTGAGCCAGGCACCAAAAGCACAGAGCAGAGATGGTGCATTCTGTGTGGGAAGATCTAGAAAGTTCACAGCGGAGATAATATTACCATTATCTTCTGAGATTAAAAAAAAAGTCTTAAACACTAGCAAAATGAAAAGTATGTTTCCTTAGAGAATTCAGCCAAGAGAGCAACGACGGGAAAGCTCTACTAAGTAAGTCAGGTCCAAGGCCAAGCCAATCATCGCCCTGCTCCCTCAAGCATGAGGCTTGCAGCATCCTGAGTTTCCTAACTATTGTCCACTCCTGGCAATGTCAGGCTGTCATTCATGAAAATAAGTAGTTAGAACACTAAGCAGCATTTCCAGAGACGGACATTCCATGCCATTCCATGCCAGAATATGCCACGTCGATCGTTGATCCACCAGGAAGGCAGAGGAAACATTTAGCCAGGTGTTTGTTCAAAACTGAAATTCAAAATGACCCTGTCACTTGTCAGGGGCAGGCGATTGGTGAGGGAAAGCAGGAGAAAGCCAGTCAAATTGTAGCAATGAAATCTTAGTATTTTTGTACTTTGAAACACTTTTCTTATAACAAAATAAAGTAGCAAAAACCTTTCAAACCTGCTTTTCTTTTTATTTAAATGTTCTGCATAAACTTTAGCTGTTGCCAGAGTTAAAATTATGTTTGCCAACGTGTCCTCACTGTATCTGTGCAGGGAGTCATGGGGCTGGGAGAGGTGCCTTGCTGACCCTTTAAAGCAGTGGTACTCAACCTGTGGGTACCACTTAACAGCCACTGATATAAAAGAAACTACAGAGAGGGGAGGCACCATGCTGGGACCATCATTTCTTTACATCCCTGGCAGCCCTAACTCAGCTTCACTCTTCCTTTAAATAACCAGACTCATGTGCCTCCCAGGACCTCCTTCTACTAATTGTCTATCAGTCCAATCTTAGATTAACTTTTTCTCTGCCATGGTCCCACCCTGCCTCTTGGGCAGTTCTTGGGAAAATAAATATAGGGACCTAACACTTACAATGAGCACAAACACATGACCTACAAGGAACCCCTATTGTTATACCCTATGAGAGTTACTTTTTACCCTCATGATGGGAAAGGATAATCTCTTAAATCCTAAATTTTCTGTGAGTCCTTCTACCGTGAACTTCATAGATGGAAGACTTGGGGAGGCAGCAAATCTCATTCTAGCTGTTTGGGCATTTGTTGAACATTCTTTGTGCTGTTCTTTAGACTCCCACCCCATCCCCAAACTATAGACATAAAAGAGTCTTGGACTCATAAACACTAAAAGACTGGATCTTGGGCTGGGCTACCCATGAGACATTTCCAGCCGGTAGAGTGTCAGCCTAATTCTCCTTCCACCCATGGAGTTTTCAGAGTACCACCAGGATATCCCAACAAATACCAAAGTTTCAGGAGCCACTGCTGGAGAAAAAAAGACTTGAGAAAGGGACCCCATCACTCACTGATGGTGACCCCATCTACAGCCACTCATTTTGGTCCTCTGATTACAATTGTATAAGACAAAGCAGGGACAGTCATATACCTGTCCCACCTCACTGCCAATGAGAGGTCCCTGAAGAGTTTAGGAAGATTTCCCCAGACCCTACAGTTTAATCCAGTCAGAATTCTCGAAATGCACCCCCAGCTTTGATTCTAATGGACAGCCTAGGACAAAGTCCGCATCTGTACCATCTTCATCGTTTCTACAGAACAGCCACCGTCCCCACCTTGCCCAAAGTCAGAGTGGAATAAAAAGGCCTGGGTAGGGGAGAGACTCCCTGACACATGGAAAGCAAATTTGCAGTCACTATGCCTGTGACTTGGCCACAAGTGTGGCCTTTCCAAAATTCAACCCCCCCACACACTTTTTTTTTTTCAACATAACTTTAATCCTGAAAGGGGCAAATATCTAAATCTGAGTCTTGCTAAAGTTCTGCGACATCTTGCTAAAATCCTGGGACATTTTTGGTTACCTAAGAAACAAGTCCTAAATACCGACCTCCTTCCCACCTTCCACATTGAATGAGCTGGTCCTACTTAAGAGCAGATGTTAAAATTTTGCTTAATCTCTCCTTTCTTTTGATAAGGATGTGTTTGTATAATCACATAATAACCTGTTTACATTTCCTGGCTTGTGGGCTGTAAAACCTTAACCCCTCTCCCATTTCCCAGCCACACCTGCGGCTCCAGAGACTTTGTATTCTCAGAGCCACATTTAGATAGAATTTGTAAATGCAGGTGTATTTTTGTAACTTTTTTGCAGTGTATTGTCCTCTTTATGTAGCACTGAATTTTGTAAAGTATATTTTTTTAAGGAATTCATTTTTTAACTTAAAAAATCTGCATGCTTTAGAAAAACTCAGTAGAATCAAAATTTGAAATTGAAATCTTTGCTTAAGAATGGTTCTGCAAGGGTGATGGGGAGAAGTCTCTTTTTCTCTTAGGCGAGTGTGAACCTCAGGGTCAAGATAAACTAGGTGGGTCCTTGCCACAGTGAAGGAGAGGAGGGTCATTTCAGAATCCTTACAGGAAGAAAAGACAGACACAAGCTTAATGCTGGTCTGAGCAGGAGCTGCGGATTCTGGGTTAACATAAGAATTACTGCCAGATTTGGACCTTGAAATTTCAGTCCTGTGCTCCAATGTGGGTCTCTGTCTCTGTCTCCTTTCATTGCTTGCTGAAGGTTAATATTCAGGAGGATGCCTATATGTTTTTCTTTGGGTTCTCCTTATTTAGCTTCTGACTTCTCACAGGACAGGGAACCCTGATTGCTTTTCGGGCTGAGGGGGGGGGGGACTTAATTGGGGGAGGGGGAGGGAAATGGGAGGCGGTGGCGGGGAAGAGACAGAAATCTTTAATAAATAAATAAATTAAAAAAATAAAAAAAAACAGAAAAAAAAAAGAATTACTGCCAGGCCAGTTGTGGTGGCACACGCCGGTAGGATTTTCTGAAGGAGGCAGAGGCAGGAGGATCACGAGTTCGAGGCCAGCCTGGGCTACACATTTAGCCGGGCGGTGGTGGCGCACGCCTTTAATCCCAGCACTCGGGAGGCAGAGGCAGGCGGATCTCTGTGAGTTCGAGGCCAGCCTGGTCTACAAGAGCTAGTTCCAGGACAGGCTCCAAAGCCACAGAGAAACCCTGTCTCGAAAAGCCAAAAAAAAAAAGAATTACTGCCAGCTCACAACTACTAGAAGAATTTCAGTGCGTAGCATTATCAGGTCATCTGCCAATATGACCTTGTTAGTGTAAGAGATTCGATAACATTGTTGGTTTGCATATGCTAATATGACATTAACTCCAATTATTTTGTTTTTACATTTACAAATGTCATTCACTTATTACTCTGGAAGTGTCTGGAAAGCCATAATGTTTATGCTGTTTGGGTTACTCAGTGTATTCCTGAAGTCTATCAAGTGCAAACATGGTCACTCAAAAGAGGGTTTTAAAACTGTTGAAACCTAGTCATGCCCAAGAATAATCAAATATGAATCTCTATAGGGTAAAATCTGAGAATTTTTACTGTTTTGGAAAGTCCTATGTCCCTTCTAATGTACAGACAAAGTTAAACATCACAAGCTTAGGGATGAGCCCTGAACTCACAGATATCTGTGCGGATACAAATGATGCCCAAACCCAGAAAAGCCTACGTCTGCTCGTCAGTATCTCGGTGTTATGGTGTCATGTCCAGAACTGAGGCTGCTGTCTAGGCGTTAGAGGGTAAATAAAGTATCTAGCCAATGAGCAAGAGGCAAAGGAATTATAACACAGACACCCCCACCATCATTTTTGTGTTGCGTAAGCAAACTCTATTAAGAATGGATGGTCATGAAGAAAAAGTGTTACGCTATGTATGTATCCACCATTGTTGGACACCTGCTAACCTGATGCAACCCACTAACCTCCATTTTCCAAAAGGAAAATCTTGACCTACTGGTTTGACTACAAAGGGCAAACTTGAAGACAATTACCAAATACTTAGGTGACTTTTATAGGACTAAAGCTCTAAGAACAGGAATTTTACATTAAGACACACACATACACACACACACTGAAGCAGCTAATCCAGACTATTCTGCCAAGTACATATACACAATGATCCTCTGAGGTCTAAGCCTGTCTTGCCTGAATTACCAGTCAAATTGCTAGGAGTCATTACCCCCAACAACAGCAGAAAAATATAAGAATTTAAGTTTGTAGGTCTTAGATGCATATTTTACTTGGAAAATTCAGTTTCCTGACTCTCTTGACTTGAGTACAAAGTATGGTTGCTATATAACACAATGGTGTAGAAATACGCCATCCCAGGATATAATGGCTGTTCCTAGACATGATGACATGGTTGGTTAACACCAGACAGCAGTAATTTCATGTCGGTTTCATTCAAGCAATTGCTTTTTCTATGGCACATTTTAACTTTGTAATGTTTTGCGATGATGAATGCAATATCTGTACAAATGCAAATCAGGATCTCTTTTACATACCGTTGATAGAACATGTTGATTGTACATTAAGTATTAAAGATTTAGGTCTATGTTCTTCATTGTTTGCTACTCCTAAGAACTTAACCGTTTTGCATTCTTTCTTAACACTGCAGTGTTGGTTTCTGCTATTTTTCATATCTGACTATAGATATTCTTTCTTGAATTTTTTTCCTTGTTTTCAGATTGGTTTTAATTTGACTTGCTGGTGTTTCGGTGCCTTGTGGCCCAATAAGCTGTATTCCCCGCCCCAACTGAAAACTTTAAAAAAAAAAAATCAATAAACCTTATTTTCAGAGAAGATCTAGAATCATAGCAAAATAGAAAAGAAAGTGCAGGAAACCTCCATATTCCTCCTGTCCTCCCACGTACACCTTCGCCGTTATACCCATCCTTACTGTAATATGCAAATAACTGTAGGAAAAACCTCCAAGTCACTTCAGAGACTGCACTCTGTTTCCCAGATTCTGCTTGTGCTCTTCGGATACGATGTGATGCCTTCCAGGCTTTCATATTTTTGATAGACAGGTAGACGTACCACAAAAACCAAGGAAAGGCAACCTACTGGTGACGCAAATTGTGCTGTGGAAGAAAATGGCTTCCAGAAACCCAGAGCCGAGGACTGAGCAGCACTGAGGACCGAGTCGGCAAGCACTGGGCATGAAGGGGAGGCTCGCTCATCAGCTGGTCCAGGAGGGCTGCAAAGTCAGTCACCCCGGCCCAATGAGTGGGCTATGGGGTTTTACGTTCTTGACTCTCCCGCAGGTTGACTCCAGAGAATAAGCCAAGCCCTTCATTCCCCAACTTTCGCTCCACCAGCTGTCCCCACACAATGATCTATCTTGTTTCTCTTGCACAGGAAGCTGGGCTTTGCTGGCTCCAACAGGCCTGGCTCTGAGTCATTTCCAGGGAAGCCACTGATGGAGCTTTGTGTTTTTCATTCAAGACACTCTCAGTCCTTTACAAGTATGGGGCTGGGCCGTGTGGAAGGCAGTCTCCAAGACCACCAGGTCCATGACAATGAGACAGTGAGGAGCTTCCCAGCCTTTACTCTGGGCCTAGAATCCAATGGAGGAGTTTCCCATTCTCCCCGCTTTCACAGGAGTCCCCAGGTCC